TCATCATAGGCTAATTTAACATCAGCAACCTCCCACTGAAATAGTGAAGTCATGCAAGGACAAAAGTCCTTCCCAGCCTAACGTGACACCCGCAGTATTCAGCTAAAAGCACTCCTATGACTGGAACAACATGGGGCTTTGTGAATGTCAAAATGCTGCCGGTTCTCTGTCAGAGGGCGCAGTTTTGCTTTTCTTTCTCTCCTCGTCTCTGCTTATCGTTTTTGCTATCTTTGTTACACATATTAATGGCATTTTCTAAAAATTCACATGAAAACCATTCCCCATTTCTAAGGAGTTCATAAACTTGTTCTACATAAAAGAAAATGCTGTAATGATGTTAAAAAGCATCTTTAAAATATAACTCCACGTAATCAAGTACATACTATAACATTTTTGCAGCTCAGAATCTTCCCTGGGTAATACACAAGAATTCACCAACATACCAACCTATTCTCTTAAGTCTGAAATAGCACAATTTGTGAGTTTCTGAATTGCTGGCCAGTAGCAAAAATGCAGATGTCTAAGAGAAGTTTTTTGCATAACCTGTGAAGAGCATCTAGGTATTATTACATGTTTCATCTCAAGTGTTTCCCAGTGCTGGAGAGCCTGCCTGCTGCATGTTGCAGCAAAGCGCTGGGAGGACAAGGAGGTAGAGAGAGAACAAGGAGGTAGAGAGGATCTAGAGAGGATCCCACCTCACCCTCTTCTGCCACTCAGGGCACCGGAGCAAGGGGACACAGTCACACACAGGCTAGAACTCAAGCAGGAAAATGCTATTTATTTTTTCACTCCTTTAATTAGCAGGTTAATCTTGGTTTCTAATGAAGACAACGGCACATTTCTCTTGATTAAATGAAAGATTCTAGCCATATACTTTAAAACACCCATAAATCTGCACAGAATGAGTTGACTTCAATAAGTTTATGTGCACCATGGAAACAGCTGGCTCATGGGCTATTTAAAGCAAGCGAAGTAAATCAAATATGATCATTATCTTTTAAAAAAAGTACAGTTAATCTAAGAAAAATCTTTACTTTTATGAACTAGCTACTCTACGACTGATCTTCAGAGCACCAGGAAATTCTACCCTATAACCAGCTCAAATGGTTCGCACTGCATCGTAACTGAATTGTGCTTTCAGGTATAATTGTTATGAAACTTGTAAACTGTGCATGTTTCACATACGATTCAGTTACGATGCGGTGAACTCAAGATGATATAGAACCAGGCAAAAGACTTTGCGCTGACTTATTAATGAACGGTATAAGAAGAGAAAGATCACCGGAGAAGAACGTCAGAGGCACATTCTCCTCATCTGGAACAAAATGTCTCACTGCAGCAAGACACTGCCATCCCATCGGCATCCCCTTCAGCTGATACCACCTCCCAAGAAAGCCACTAACATTTTTGCCTTGACTTTTTTGTTAAAAGCACCACGAAGGGCATCATAAATTGGCTGCACAACTGGCTAACTACCAAACCCAGTGCATCAGTGAGCTTTTCTGTCCCGCTCCAAACACAGCAAGGACCACGTGCATCCCTAGAGCAGTGCAAAGCATCACTCCGAGGAGGCACTAGCCAGCACAACATAGAAGTAGCAACAAAAAAAAAGCTTTAGATCTTCATGAATAGAGACACATTGTGTTGGGAGGCCTTTTTTCCTTGGGAGCTCTACAGCCCTTCCAAGCCTGCTGTAGTCCCTTTTTACAGAAGCCTGAAGGCAGGGTTGATTGAACTTCTCACTGCTGAACTTTCAGGGTCAAGGTGTCTGATTTCAAGCTGAAAATACCAAAAAAAGGCAAAATGCCCCTACAGTCAAAATCTATAGCATCTTTATCAGAAGTAGGTTTGGTATTGTTTTGCCATCAAACATTTTAGGCCAAATCTTGCTGTAGACAGAAGACAAATGGCCACCTGATTGCAGAATTTGTCTCCTGGGAAAAGTATGTGCCTGCTTCTAGCCTTCAAATTTGCCTTTTGTTACTTTGGATGTAGCAGTACTCTGTAAGTGGAGCGGGCGACAGCATTTCCGTGTGCGGTACGGCTTTCAGCATGCTCTTCCGTGTCACACTGAGGTAGGTGCACACAGCTTAGCACTGCACTCTGAGAGCCTTAGTTACCTTGTTAAAGAAAAAGCAGCACTTGGTTTCTTAGTCTGTGCACACTCACACACACACGGCAGGCACGAAACGGATACCTCGGAGCAGAAAGAAGACAGGGTAATCTGCCTGGCTAACTTCAGTGCTTCTATCCTCATTGCAGCAAACTCTAACTCCTCCTGTCAAGTGTTTGGTTGTGAGCAATCCACAGAAAAAAATGTATTAAGAACATAGCAAAAATGTTTAACACATTCAAAAATGGAATGTTATATTTTAATGTATAACTCTGACAATTCCTGGGTGACAAACACATCCCATATTCCTTTCATGACTAGAACATTGGTACGAAACTCCCGTTTTTGGTTCGTTTTGAGGTAGCTGTATAGACAAACAATTTTTATTAGGCGGTAAATATGAACACCACTTTGGGTAAAAGAAATGTTTCCCGAAGCTAAAGCTGTTTTTCACAGACTCCTCTCCTTTTGTTTTCATTTTATGTGAATTTATGCCAGCTGCTGCTTTCAATTCAACCGTTGCTGTTTTAAAGTTTCACTATAAATATTCTAGAAAATATGTCCTGACATACAGAACTGCTGCGCAGATAAATTTGCTTTTCCTAGAAGAAGCCTTGCCAAATTACACATTAGATAGATTACCAGAAAAACAAAGCGTAATTTTCATTTCAGCAGAATTAGGGCCAAAATCTCCGAAAATAAATCTATGCATACAGACCTACTAAGGCCAGGTGTCAAGACAACTCTCCACACATCAAGTCCTGTGGTCAAGCTTAAAACATTTGCTTTATAAAGACTTCTGCAAAATATATACATCAGTGGTATAGGATAGCTGAAAGTGTTGAAGAAATTTAAGTTTATCTTTATGTATTATATGAATTAAATTAAAATATCTCTGTTCCTTAAGTTCCTGAAAGGCCAAAGTTACTTTGGAAAGAATCAAATCATTATTTTGCTTCTTTCCCACCACGCCTCCAAGCCTTCCCCCACCCCTTTCAGATGAAGCAAAGCATTCTCTCCCTGTGTATAGACAAACTTAAAGAAAAGCGACATTTATATTTCTGCTACAAACCTGAAGTTTCTGAGCAAATACTGGGGGGTTCTTTTCTGCTAAGTCAGGATCTAGATATTCAGGCTGATCACATATTGAGGTTTTCTTAGATATCCTATTGAGAAGAGCATCAGCAGAGACAAAGGAGTCTTCAGGAGAAGTCTGAAGGGTAAGGAGGATATAGAATAAGCAACAGAGATTTTGTCCAAGTAGTTCAGGCCAAAAGCAACATACCTGTCTGCAAATCACAGAATCAGAGTGGTTTGGGTTGGAAGGGACCTTAAAGATCATCTGGTTCCAACCCCCCTGCCATGGGCAGGGACACCTTCCACTAGACCAGGCTGCTCAAAGCCCCATCCAGCATGGCCTTGGACACTTCCAGGGAGGGGGCATCCACAGCTTCTCTGGGCAACCTCTTCTAGTGCCTCACCACCCTCTTAGCGAAGAGTTTCTTCCTTCTATCTAATCTAAATCTCCCCTCTTTCAGTTCAAAGCCATTACCCCTTGTGTTTCTTTGATTCCTAGTAATTTCATGCCCCCCTGAAGATTACTTTTGAATACATGATTCATGAAAGAGACGAACACCAAGAACAATTCTTCCTAATTTAAAAGCTGAGTAAATTTTCCAAGACTAACAGGAAGTAAGTAATATTAGGACCTCTAAAGCAATGGCTCTCAAACCATGGACCACAGCCCACTCTTGATACTTCCACAATAGTTTTCAAACAGTTACCATAGGTTTTGTTCATACAATAGCTTATGTTCTGTTCAGGCATCTCTAAGGCAGTCTTCAAAAGCTTTGAAGACCACAAAAACTGAGGGGAACATCAGCAAGACTCTTTTTGCAGTCTTTACAAAGTCTTTTGCTGCTTACTGGGGATAAACTAAGTTATGTTCACAATTATAATACAATCAGGATAAATACACAATATGAGGATGGACAGAATTAGAATGACAAAAACAAGACCTCTGGGATTTGAGTACCCAAGACTCCCTGCAGTGAGAACAGTATTCAAGCTCATAAAAAATGTTTTGTGAGATGGTATCAACAGCATTATTAATATAAATTAAGCATAGTATTAAAGTGAGCTGCTTCTTATTTTGACTCCTCAGTAAATATATTGTCATATAGCTTAGCATGCCTAGTGCTGTAGGCATTTGTGAAACAAGTTTGCCTTGAAAAGTGGAGGCCTTGAGGGAACCTTTATGAATTTGAGAGCCAATGCTCTAAAATCTGTATGCAGCGCAGGCTGGAAGCAAGGAAGGGCTCATCACTAATTCAAATCCAATCCAGAGAAGCCACTGAAAAAAGTGATTTAACTGGAAGCTGGAATGAGTTCTAACGATCAAAAAAGTGAATTTTACATTATCAGTATCAGATGACAACAACACAGTTAACAGCTTATACTAAAATGTGAAAGGGGACCTGTTCTGTACCAACAAAATTTTGAAATTTCACAGTACATGCAACAGAACAAATCATGTCTCTATGTTTACATAAACCCCCTTATTTTATATGTAAAATATTTCTTCAAATATTGGGTTAAAGCACAGTGTAAAAAGGCCTGTGTGAGAAAAAAAGGACTTCAAAGTATCAACTTGGAATAAGTTATCACAAGAACATGTTAAGCTATGTTAGGAATTCAGAAAGTTCCTCTGAATTCCATCAGTTCCATCAATCCACCTCCCTCATTTAGGTCCTACCACATGCTGCTACCAAGATCTTTAAGTTTCAGCTTGAGTTTCACTCTACTTTCAAGATCCACCTTTGCTACCTATGAAATGAGAAATTTCTAAAGGAAAATGATTCCTAAACTCTTATTATAGATTACTTACTATTTCAATAGCCTCTGGAGTTGTTCCTAGGGTCATGGGCTCTAGGTCTTTCTGCTTTGATTTGTCAGGTGACTGTAAGTGTGCCTCTTGGCTGGCAGCTAGGACTCGGGCAGCCGGATGTTGTATTTTCATTCCAGAGGATTGCTGGGTTTCAGGGTCTTCAAAACTTGACCTGCAAAAAGATTGTGTACATGCTTTCAGGGTGGAGCACAAGGCCCTTGCAATTCTGCTTCTGGTAACAGCTAAGGAAGTCCTCTTCATTACTTTCATGTATGTGTGCATATATATATATATATATATATACACAGACACGTTGTTTCAAGTCAACTTTATATCATTATATCTCATAACACTTTGCAATAGCCTTTCAAAGCAATGCACCAGAGTCATCTAAATAAAGCCAGTTCTACCAGAAATGTTATGCACATTCCTTAAATATTTCTCACTTGCCTTTTTACACCTTTCTCATTGTGACCTACATCTCTCCCAAGAAAAAAACTTTTACTAACAAGAACAGATGTCCTTAACAAGCAAAATTTTTGGAAGTAAATACAACCCCCACATCCTGTTCTTATGAAATAGACTCCTTGTTCAGAAAATCGATCTAGGAAAGGCCAAGTGAAAAGTTGCAATTAGGAGATTTCTAGATTGACGTGAAAATGACCTCTGTATCTGAGAAAAAAACTGTAAGTAGGAAGCCACAGTCTAGTGAAACAGTTGCCACTGCGACTCTATTTAGTAAGAATATGAAGGAGAAATATATGTCCTTATTCTTTCCCATTATAAAACTTCTGTATCTTTGCCCTCTATTCTCTATCATATGTGTACACAGATGGGAATCTATTTTTAAACAAACTACTCGGCAATGCAGAGGCAGAGAGAGGAAGAATTGCCTGTGTATGTGCTATGATGGTAACCCATTTCCCTGACATCCTTTTCCATTGCTGAATTTGCTTGCAGTGACATACCCTGAGCATGGTGTTGTGGAATCAGAGAGTCTCATGGGAGGTGATTTGACTGGGCTCTCATGCTGTGCATCAAACATTAGGTATAAAGATTGTTTCTTCGGGGTGCTATCATCCTGCTGGCAACAGGGAAAGAAAGACTCGTTAAGCAACTCAACTGTTCTCCATTAAAGCTAATTCAGGTGACTGAAGCTTTAAGTGACCAAATGACTTGACAGATAACTAATAATATAAGACTGTAATGTAGTCTATACTAATACTGAGATGATCCCTTTAAGGAAGAAACCATTAAAGAACAAAACCTAAACATTTCACTCTTTGTAATGGCTCTTCTTCTGCCACTTTGGGGTTAATCAGATTTCTGGTCCTGTCAGGCAGGAGGCATCCCTTGACTGAAAGTGTTACTAAAATATTCATTGAAACCAATGTTATTCTCATCAGTTTAAGCACCTGACATACATGCTTGATTTTTCTAACTTCCCCTGTGGATATACCCCCATTGGATCTCGTCAATCTATCAAATCCATGAATTAAATAGAAATAAGGCAAAATGACTGATAATGTATAGTATTGCATTCCATATTTCACATTCATTCTGTATTTTCTCCTGATTCCCTCCATCTTCTTCAAAGTTTTACTCTCAGTTTCTTAAAATCGTTCAATAGTTGATGTAGACAGCTTTGTACTCTACGCTGCTGGAAATGCTGATTTGCTTTTAATCTCCAGAAAGAACTAGTATGCCGCTAGCTTAAAAATAAAACAATAAAATGGAACAAGCTCTACAGGATATAGGAAAACAAAGCACATGAAATTTACCCCAGTTATGCCAACTTAAAGGAACTGGTTTTGCAAATCTGCTGCAGGTAGATTATAATTAAATTAAGGGGTAGTGAGGCTGATGGCATTATCAGGATAGCATATTATGACAAGGGAATGCAAATGAATGGAAATGGAAGTGAGAACTTACAGGCACAGAGGAGCCTATTTTCTCCATATATTCTATTTCATATGAGTTGCCATATTCCAATTCTGCAACAGAATCAAAAAAAAGCCATTAAATACATGCCATGAAATGATTTTTGCGTAAGTAAATGAGATCTCTTCTCATTTACAAGGGCCACTCCCATTCTGCTCAATACGTTTCTATGAGGTATTAATAGAATATACAGAGAGAAAGCAGAAGGTGCACTAATTTTCACTGATTTTCCACAATGAGCCTATGACACATTTCAGGCAAATTCATTTGCCTGAAACATTTCAGCCTTATCAATTTGCTGAAGATTCTGCCCCAGGGGCCAGAATATTAACAAAGTTTCAGAGCGCTTTCAGAGCACAGATGACTTTCCTCTATTGTGTTATCTTATCACAGAAAATGCATTTTTCAACAGTGGGTAATGCTGATACCAGTTTCCTTTAATGTACACAAATAGATTTTAAAAGCTGTTGAGAAATGAAGTAATTTCTATTTCTTAGTGTTTATCACACCGTTCTTAATTAAGAAGGACTACCATGGCATCACTTAAGACAAAAAGATACATAAACCCCCTGTATGCTCATGAACAAGGGGTGACACAACAGCCCAGCTTACTGGGCTGTTTGCACATTTTAGTTACAGAGGAAAAGCCTACGGCAGGAAGATTTATGAAGAACCCTAAATCTAAACCCTAATAAAAATGCAAATCTTTACTGCTTCTCTACTTCTAATCTCCTAATTACACTGGAGGGAATTCTTTCCAATCCATGGTCACCCAGTAGTGAGCAGATACAGAGGCAGACAGATAAAACACAGCAAAATGGAAAACAGAGCATACCTTCCTGCACCCAAATATAAGCAAAGACTTTGTTCACTGACACCTTAATTTAAAAATTAAAAACACCATTAATTTGTCCTAGTGCTGCATTTTACTCTGCTTCCATGAGTTAATTCATTAAACCACTTGCACAATTTCATTTCCTTTATAGGTAAGTCCTAATGAATGGCACACTAGCATTTACATTACAATAAGAGTATGTGCTAAAATTCTTCTAGATTTGGGCAGCTTTTCAAAAGTAGAGCTTGTAGCAGGAAGATGGTAACCATCATTAAAATGTTTTGTTCTTTAAAAACAAACCAACCCTAACGGTAATCTCTTACCTGTTCTGTTTAAAAAAAAAGTTTCAAAGAGTGCAGTGTGAGTTTACAATGCTCCAGATTTTTTTATAATAAAAAATAGCACCACAGAGTACAAGCACTGTAATTCCACAAGTCTATGTATTTTGTCAAACAACCACTGAAGAGGAACAGCCACAAACTCTCAGTACCTGACACGTGGGAGGTATTAATAGCAAAACATCTAAGTGAAGAGAATGCTATAATAGCAGGCTTCTCACATTTAAATTCCTAGCACCATATGTTTTAATGGTAATAAGGAGCCAAGGAAGATAGACAACCTCCTGATATCAGATACAAGCTTCTTCCTAGTGAAAGCAGAAACAAAACTGAAACGACGAGATTCAAACCACCTCCTGGATGCAGCATTGCAGGACAAAGCACGAAATACCAGACAACAGCATCCAGTGTTTAGCAACTGCCTTTCTGTATTTCATTTATCTCCACGTAGCCCAGGGAGGTGCATCACGAATGTTTATGGGGCAGCTTAATGACCCCAGAGAGCGATCAGTGAGCGAGCGTGCAAGCACGCTCATGGGCAGGAGACGGGCAGGAGACGTACCGGCACTGTCCTCTGCTGGCACAGCCGGCAGGGATCTTCCATCTGCCTTGCAGGGCCAGTAGCGGCTTTGCAATTGCAATCCAAACTGACTTTTGGGACAACACGCATTTAACCTTACTGATTTAAGGCAGAACACACATGGGAATACTTCAACTAGAAACAAAAGGAATAACATGGCTTGCTAAATGCAGTTTATTTCGTCTCATTGCTCTCAGGAGTTTCCAGCATAATTAGACACTATCTCCTCTCCTAGGTATCTCCTCTAAGACATTATCTCCCCTCCAAAATCTTAGGCTCTGGTTATCTCTATACATTCAAAATCTCCAAATGCCCAGGATATCCCATGAAGTAAGATAATTATCTTTTATAAAGACATACGGCAGACTTACTAAGTGATGTCCTCCAACTCCTCCTACAAATAGCTGCAAGATTACATCAGAATTTTCTGCTAATAATTACTGCTTATTTCTGGTCTGTCCAACACGAAAATGGCAGCAGTTATAAGCAGCGCATGCAACAGATGAGAGCTGGATGTATCGGCTGACTCAGTAGTTGGGCTGTATCTGTACAAAAGCAGTGTTAGGTTACAGGATAATACTCATAGTAGTATCTGGGAGGGGTAGAAATATTCGCACTGAGAAACAGCCCTGGAATCACTCAAAAATTTCTCAATGCCACAGGAGCAAGACTGTCAAGGGAAAAAAATTATTATTTTTAAGAGATCTGAAAAGCGGAAGCATTGTTGATTATAATTAGCATGTAATCTGAAACTCCAACTATACCATGCAGCACACATGAGACAAGACAATTAGCATTTAATTAGAAGCTTTGCTCACTTTCTTCTACCCACTTTGATAGCTAAAATGATTGCCTTAGAGTATCTCTCACTATTCTTTTGTTCCATTTCCTTCCATATAATTTCCATTTTCTCAGATTTGGGGGGCTTATTTTCTAAAAAATATTTCTTTATATTATTTTTTTTTAATACAAATGAAGTGAAGCCAATGTCTAGAATTTATAATTTGACAATGAAGCCAAATGGATTTATCCAGACTGAAATACTTATCTGAATGGAAGACTCAACAGATTTCCGAAAAGCCCAGGCCACACAAACATATAAGCATGTGCATATGAACATGTGCAGCCCCATTAAAACCACTGTGATTATTCATGCCTTTTAATGTCAAACGCATTTGACCTAAAAGCTTAGCAGTTCTTAATTAGGCAAAAACTCCTCAGACCCAGTCTAAAACAGCATAAAGTAGCTTTAATGGTAGACTGGGACACGGGTTGAAAGCTTAGGGGAAAAAAATAAATTCTGACCAATATGAAAAAGTTTAAGCCAAGTTAAACTCATACATTCTTCCCACCCACGACACTGAAAATCTGCCCGCGGAGCAGATGTTGCAAGGCAGTATTCCCTCTGGTAACCCCAAGGAAGGCCACACACAAAATTTTCTAAATTCTGTCTCTTCCACATTCCATGGACCTGGAACGATAGTTCTCAACACAAACTTCCAGCTTTAGCTCACAACTGCTTACAGGAAGGTACGACAGGAAAAATCTTAATAAGCTTATCTAGAAGGAAATTTTGTCTGGCACGTGAACGGTAACTCTCTCACACAGGGAATATCCTGGACATTTTTATGCATAACGATACCTGGATCCTAGGAACCTGGAGGAGAGATGGCATGTTAAGGATCTTAATGCAATACCCAAACTTTGAGCAGAATTTTAACCTGGGACCTTCTCCCATTCAGGTTAGAGGAATAGGCTCAGGCAAAATCAGTAGTTCAGTGACTCTGGATCCAAGAGCACTAACCGAGAGCGGTATCAGACCCCCATCTCCCGTGAAGGCACAGAGAGAACAGGTAGCACGCACAGAAGAAGAGAGCCTGTCCACAATTAACCATACAAAGGAAGCAAAAGCCTTTCTCTGAAGGCCCCTTTCCTTTTCCTTTAAGCTTCCTCTCTACTCTTTCTTGAAAACTCAAGGGGGGATTATGGGGGTCATACGTTCAGCTCCCCATAATTACCAAGTTCCCCAGACTGGTCAAAAGAGCATCATTTTTTAGGGTTCCCAAATAACACAGTTTGCATTCAGCAAAGTATATGCCAATATCCTCAAACAAACCAAACCCCCTCTCAATATATATAACATTAGCTGGATGCAAACAGTCCTTTATAAAGCATACCCTCTGTAGGAGAGCTGAATTTAGTCTCATTTACAAATGTAGACAGATCAGATGGTTGCGGGTAATCCTGTTTATCCGTGTTCAGGTCCACAGTCATGCAGGTCCATTTCTGACTGGTCACCGAAGATGCCAGTTTCTCCTCATCTGTCGCATGAACCACCGTGGATATGACGGGAGGTGTTTCTGGAGTAGGCAGTGGAGTGGGATCCTGCAGAAAACAAGCGCCAATTAATTCTATTATCGTTCATTAACACATTGAATAGTCAAGTCCCTAAATTCCTCTGCACGATTTTTAATTCCGTACTCTTTACTACAGCTCTGTATAAAAATAGTTAATGAAAAATATTGAAGTACTTCATTTAGAACTCTACTAGCAGCAAGTTGTCACAGTGTAACTAAACTCTTTGATGATAAACACTTGCATTGCAAAGCTGCCTTGATAACACGGAAGAAAGAAAATCCAGAGCCGTTTAAATCTCTTAGGTACTTGACATAAGTGGCACACATCACCCACGACTGAAGTCTTTGACTACCAAAACTGACTTTTCATGCTTCCCTCATGGGAGCAAGCCTCCGTAGGTCTGCAAGGTCATGAACCCTTTCTTCACTTCTAGGCTGTCAGCAGCATAAATAAAAGGGAAGGACGGATAACAGGAAGACGAACAGCGGCATGGAAGGAGTTGTGCCACATCAAAGCGCTTAGGCCTTTGTAGGCAGAACAGCTTTTGTTAACTTCTCTTCCAAGAAAACCACCTGCTGGCAGTTTACAACAAGGAATAAAACCATCCAAGCACATGTTCCTGGTAGATCAGCCCACTTGTTTTATTTCTATTTCCCTTCCACCCCACCAGTTTGATGATTTAGTTTCTTACCTTCTAATCTAAAAATTCCAGGGTGGATGGTTACGTCTAGTTTTTCAGACAACTGATTGAAGATTTTTATTCATTTTGTCGCTCCATTGTAACACAGGACTTTCCAAAGTCTTAACACACTAATAGTCTAACTGGAATTCCCAGAGCAAATACTAGATCCAATATACCTTGTATACATGCTTCTAGAGACCAAAAGTTTAATACCTTATCATTATAGCCCAGTGTGCTATACTTGAACACCAATATGCTTATATCCTTTACAAAACCCTCTTCTATTATTAAATGTACAATTCTACAATTTAATAAATGAAACTTCCCTCTTTTGCCTCTACAAGAACACAAATTACATACATCAAAATAAGGCAGTACTTTACCTGAGAAGGAGGATCAGATAGTGGGGATCTTTTTGGTGATTTTTTCACCCTAAATGTATCACTGAAAATAAAGTTAAAACAGTTAATATGGCAATACCAGCAAGAATCGGGTCATTTCACACTTAGCAAGAGACAGCCACAGACAATGCAACCTCTGTAAGCCCTTCTGCTTGAAAATCCCATCCATTAGGCAGCAGCACCACAGAGAAACATGCCATAGGTACACATTCTTGTCATGCACTTGGAACAGGCCTCAATTCCCCAAAAGCTGAGAAAAGCAGGATTGCCATATTTTTCATGCCAACTACCGACACATTTACAGAACGGAGCGGCTGCTTGGTTGCAATTCAAATCCCTGCTCCACCGCAGACATCCTCAGTGGCCTTAAGCAAATTATTTAGCTTCTGTCTGCTTCAGTTTCCCATCTGAAAATTAGGTCTAAATGACGTCTTTAAATGAGAATTAAAACTGTGATAAACTTAGGCAGTAAGCTCCAATGACCCCAAAGCTCTAGCCTTACAAATGTGCATACCAGACCGCCTCCCTCTTCAAAACAAATACAACAGCATATATGGCAATTCTGCTTCCAGTTCCCCTGACAGCTCACAGTGCAGACTGGGAGCACGGACACTGTAGCCCTTCAAAATCCCATAGGTTTCAATCAGGCAAAAGGAATGAAGAATAAACATTATGTCCTGGTGTATAATTACGAATGTTGCCTTTATGTTTATTCATAATTGGTTAAAAATATTTTCTGACAAGGAAATAAACCAATTATTCACCTGTTCTTTTGATGCGTATTGCCAGAGCTATTCAAACATATTTTTGCTGCTAACTAGAAGAGGGGGAAAAATATCATACCAAACTCGCCAATAAAGAATTAATGTTTGAACTGAGATGCAGTAGCAAAAATTACTGCCCACCAGCTCATCCCTGATCAATGAATGGCAAGATCAACACTAGAAATTATAATGGTGGGTTTCAATCGGTAGAGGGCAAATCAATACCACATCTAGAGGGGAAAATAAATTGGACAGCTGAATATTGGTGTGTTCGATGCTACTAATTACCTAGTTATGATGCTAGAAGTAATTAGAATAACTTATTCCTTTAAGAAGGAGAAACACTTTATGCAGTATTTACGAAAAAATGAGTGTACGATGTTGTTGTACAATGGTAGAAATAAAATGTTCACATTTTAGCTCAAAGATACAAAATCTATAGAGTTTTTAAAAGAGGATCTTCTTTGATAGGCAAGCAGATAACGAGGCAATAGATTCCTCAAACTCATTCACAGCAAGGCATCTTACTTAAAATAGCTTTCATGTGTGCCAGTGGAGTGAAATAGTTAACATAAAAGCTTCATGCTGAATCATAACTGATCATGCTGCAAAATAAATGAGTAAAATTAAAAAGCCCATAAATCAAAGAGGAAACTTGAATTGTTAGCTTGGAATTACTTACAACAGAGAACATACAGACATCACATCTTCTACCATCCTAAGACAAATAAGACAAAGAAAAGAGAGACAGACAGAAGGAACTGACAAAAAAGATAAACCTACAAATACTGTTAATGTTAATGTGTTAAGGCAATCTGATCATGCATATTTTCTACCTGTATAATCTTAACACCTACTTTTTATTGTGAAATACATAGGGAGAAAAAAAATATTCATCAAGTCCTTTAATGTTTTCAAATTCAATGTTATACTTTTGACACGCTTTCATCTTACAAAACACATTTTTCAAAGCTGAGGTCTCTGAGTTAAGTTTCTACCAACATACTAAGTGTCTTTGCCTTCCCTGATGGTAGCCACCTGCTTTCTTTTCAAAACACAGCATTCGTTATTATATGGGATGTAAAACTGTTCTTGAATGGCACCTAGGCTTAAGGAAAGAGCAGAGTTATGCAAGGTTTTTTCATGTCTGCTGATTTGTTACGACAGTACAGAAAAAGACACTTGACCATTTCAAATCATTGACCGAAGTCAAAAAAGAAAATGACATTTCTTTAAATCTCATCTATTTTGGTTCTCACTGAAACCGAACTTTGTATTCTGACAGAACAAATCGATTGCCCAAAAACCAGAAGCAAACCTTGCCAAACAATTAAGGCTAAGAAAAGTTTTCATCGACTTATAAGCTTGGCAGCTTCTGCTCGGCTCTTCTCACGTGCAATGCTCTCGGCAGCTGGCACCTTGCGTTTCTAAACACAGCCTCCAACCACCTAACAGTTTTGAGAGCAATGTCTATACAAGCCACCTATTTTTATTCATCACTACAAGCAGGCACTCGGGAGGCATCAGCTGCTCTTTGTTCAGTACCATTGGAGCAAGGTGATCTATCTCAAAGCAGCTCAGCACTTAGGTATACGACCAGAGAGCAATTTGCGTCGAGCTGACATATCTTCTAAAAATCTCATCTCTTCACGTGGAGGTCAACGCTTAGACTGCTGCTGGTTTCATTCCAGAATAAAAATTGATTATTTTTATTGATTTAACACAGGTAAGTCCTAGCATATGGCACAGATTCAAAGCAGTACAGGCTCAGCAATGGCTTAAACCCATGCCTGGCTTATCACCTCCCATAGATCTAATCTAGAAATCGCTATCTTTCCATATAAGGAACACATTTTCAAACTGGTCCATACAGTTGTATTTCTGCACCCCTCAACAGTGCTAATAAAAACCCCTGGCTTCACAAAATTATCCATTATTTCGGATTTATAAGTCCTAGTATATTACAGTATCATTTCCCAACTCTAACACCCTCCTTTCTACCCCTTACAGCTGAAGCATCTTGCACTGCCTTCTCTCTCCTGTCCCACCACGACAGCAGCACCAAGAAGGGTCCCCCACCCCGTCTCCCTGCCTGGCCAGGGGTTCTCCTGCACCGCACCCCAGGGAGGAGTCATGCCGAGGGCCCTTCTTGGGGAGAGGAGAGACCAGAGACAGGCAAACAGAGCCACTGCTTCCCCTGGCATCCCCCATCAGGCCGTAGGCTAATTTTCTTCTAGAAAGTATTATGGCTCCAGGCTGCTCTGTGTATTAATATGCAGATTCTCTTCTTTGTTAGAGCCCACTAGCAAAAGTAGGTTACGGGGCTGGAGCGAGCAGACACAACACAACGCGGTGAAGCAGTCCCAGGCAAGGGCTGGGAATTCCTGCAGACCTCCTGGCCCAGGAACCTGTCGGCCCTGTTTCACTTCTCCCACCACGATCAAGAGCAGCAGTGAACTTTGTGACTGCAGGACAGGGCCTTCCCGTGATGGATTTTCCCAAGGATGGATGTGGTTTAGCAAATTCTTTGTAAATTCGAGTTGCCCCTAAATTAACAGCTTTGGGACTGATTCTAATATTCACAGCAGATGGGTGGACCCACGAGGTTTATACTGGGGGTCTGTCAACTCCACTGCAGCTACTGGAAGACACAAGGAGGCTCTGGCTGGCTGCAAATATCGGACTTAAGGATCTGGTGATATTAAAATTCCCCTTTCTCCCTCTGCACTTCCCCAGTGAAATTCAAATTGTTCCTCTCTCGCAGTCAGACTTTTAAGTCTTCTTGTTCTGGACAAAACCAGTTTGGACTGTAGGCTCGGAAAATGTGTCAGCTTAGCAAGCATCTTAGCTCCCACCTTAATTTCCCCAAAATTCCAGGCATACCTCAAAAAGAAACAACATCAGAACAACGCAAACTCAACTCAACTATACAGTGGTCTATAATTTTTGTAAGTCAGTGTCCTGGTTTCAGCTGGGATAGAGTTAATTTTCTTCTTAGTAGCTGGTATAGTGCTGTGTTTTGGATTTAGTATGAGAATAATGTTGATAACACACTGATGTTTTAGTTGTTGCTAAGTAGTGGTTACACTAGTCAAGGACTTTTCAGCTTCGCATGCTCTACCAGGTGCATGAGAAGCTGGGAGGGGGCACAGCCAGGGGGCCTGACCCACATTGGCCACAGGGCTATTCCACACCATATGACGTCATGCTCAGTATATAACTGGGGCGAGTTGGCCGGGGGGGAAGGGATCGCTGCTCGGGAACAGGCTGGGCATCAGTCAGGGGGTGGTGAGCAATTGTGTCGTATATCTCTTGCTTGGTACATTATTATTGTATTATATTATTATTATTACTACTACTACTACTATCATTCTATTTTATTTTACTTCAATTATTAAACTGTTCTTATCTCAACCCAGGAGTTGTCTGACTTTCACTCTTCCAATTCTCTCCCCCACCCCATTGGGGGGGAGTGAGTGAGCGGCTGTGTGGTTCATAGTTGCTGGCTGGGGTTAAACCACGACAGTCAGAAATGCCTAAAAAGCAAAAAATGGCACAAGCTTCCTCAAATCTGGCAAGGGACGTGAATTAGACGTCTAGAGGGTAACAGGCTGCTCAGAAAAAAATGAACAATCTCCACCTCACTCCATAAAGGAGGTAATTTTTTGTACTGCTTTACGTTAACCATATTATCTCCAAATTGCCAGGCTTTTGTAATTTTAAGTCACATTTTTGTTAGTTAGCTGAAACATTTAAATCATAAAGGGACATGCAGTGAGATACTTTCTTATAGATACACACAGGGTATCAATTTCAGATAAATGGGATATAAACTTATTGATTACCAACTCAAAATAACCACGTCTGAACAGGTACGATAACATGCACGCCAGCAAGCTAACCGTGGAGTCAATGCAACCAGCCACTGAAATCATTAACCAAATATCTAAATACAACAAGCTAGAGAATTTATGCTGCACTTTGTCAACTGTGTCTAAAAGCTGGACATTTCCCTAACACGTAGCAGTCTGGAGATTTTAACCCTTCTGCAGAACTGTAAGCTCTTTCACAGAAAGGAAATTTTTCACATTTTTTAATCTTATATTTAAAAATATATATTTCAATACTGCACTCTTCTGTTTCAGGTTATTTTCTTTTAGATACTGTAATTCACTAGATAAAACCGTCTTCCTGCTGTGTGCAATAGGAGATTTGTTGCTGCATTACTATTTCATGTCCCACTCTCAAAAGCGATGATTCACAAAATATTCTTTACTGGTGTGAATACTTCGATCAGCTTAAACAGTATCGAATTCCCAAGATGAGGTCACAGAAAATTTGGCACAAAATTGATAAAATTTGGACTTAATCAGATGCAAAGCTACAACGAGGCCCAAAACTTCAAAAATCCAGTTGCCAGTCCAGTGGCCTAATCTGCCTTGATTTAGCCCTGGTTCTCCCCTTCAGTCTGGAAACATCAAGCTATTGAGGAAACAGCGTGGGGGAGAGCACGTACAGACCCCCGGCACGACTCCAGTTCTGTGGCTACCAACATTGAACGGCATCTTCCTTTCTCTATTCAAATATAACCCGGGTGTAACTGTGCTAAGGGGTAGGAATGTGCTGCTTCTAATCTAGAAACATCTGTGCCCTTTAACTTACGTTTTTAGTGGCGTCTTCTTCTTTTTTGCAGGTTTATTCAAGTTGTCTCCTTCAGTTCCATTTGTTTCATTGGCAGTGGCTGGTATCTCAAAGGAAGCTGGAGATTTAGAGGGTGAGCTGGCTATCTTAGAAGAAGTCTTGAAAGGGTCAATAGAGTCCTCACACATGTCTGGCTCAAAACTGTACGTTTGTTGAGGCAGTTTCGGCGATTCTTGCATTTTTGTACTAGATGAGAACGGGTTAAAATTGGGATCATCCCACTTGTCAATATCAAAAGTGTAAGAGCCTTTTGTGATAGGGATTTCGTTTGGATCAGTGGGTGACTTGGTCGGTGTGGTTGGAGCATTGTCAAGCTTTTCCACGGACTTTTTAGTCTTTGGCCTCCGTAGTGGCATTTTAGCACCAGGCTTTTTACCTGCTTTTTTGGGAGGAGAAGTACTCTCCTGCTGGTCTTCACTCACCCCCTTTTCTTCGGAATAATCAAACTCCAGCCTCACCGCAATGCCTTTGACCGGAGGGTCTTCTTGACCCCCAGTGTCAGGCGGAGTCACCTCCACAGCCTCTGGTGCCGTTGTAAGAGGTAGTGTTTTCTTATTGGCAGGGGGAGAGTTTTGTACCTTGCTGCCTTCAGTGCTAAATGCACTAATCCCTTCAAAACTGTCTGGATCCAAAGGGTAGGATCCTTCAGGCACAGGCGGGGCCTCCTGTTTCTCAGCAGAGATTTTAGAAGGTTCAGTACATTCAGGCTTTACTGAATCAGCCTTTGCTTCTGATACTGGTTTATCCTCACCTGGGGCACAAGCTGCTTGGCCAAGGTCAGACGGTTCTTGTGGTGTTTCCTTCACCGGTGGAGCATCCAGAGATTTTTTGGCTGACTGCTTCTTTTTTAAGGAAGCTGGTCTGGATTTCTTTGTTCTCTTAAGGGTACTAGAAGCACTACTTGAACCAGTACTGTACACATCTGCTGCCGGTGCTAATGTCTCACTATTGCCAAGATAAGATGCTCCATCAAAATCACTTGCTTGCAAGCTAAGAGAGCGAGACAATGTAGATTTGGAAACTGGGACTGAATCGGTAGATTTTCTTCGAACATTCGCTTTGGGATCACGATTCTTCGATTCTGGAGAGCTTGGTCCTAAGGCATGGAGAGAATCAACCAACTCAATGTTATCAAAGTCCAAGTTGTAAGTTCCACTGCTGGCTATTGGCTTGTCCTCATCAAAGACGGTGGAAAAAGAATGGGAAGGGGGACGGAAAGGGCTTTCTTCAACTGATTCACTGTGTGACACATCAGTTACGGGTACAGTTTCTGAACATAATCCTGTGGGAACAAACAGAAAACTCTGTGAATTTTAAACACATTTTTAAAACTGGAGCTTAATAAATTTTACTATAATCTAATATTACTACAAGTAAAAAAAAATAAAGGGTTAAAATCATATAAATGGACTAAGCAATGATTAAAGGACATACAAACCAAAGTGACGTTTCCAATATATGAACTAGATTAGAGGAAAAAAAATAGTTCTCTTCTCCCCAGAAAAGGATTCAAGGCAAGTTTCATGAAAACACAAAATATGCATCTGCAATAGCCTCTAGAGCATCTCTTTTAAACTAATTATCACTTACTTAGAGAGATGGATATTACCATAACATGCTAACTATGCCAAATACCAGAAAAACTGAACATCAAGCACTTTATTACTCCCGTTTTCTACTGTTATAAAGAGTTCACAGAATTATGTCAGAGCTCTTATGCAGTAAATTCCCTGTAAATTGACTGGTGCTTCAGCAATTACATGTTGATCTTAAGTTTTGTTTCCCATGTGCTATTTTTACCAGTTTCCCAGAGGAACACGGCTTCCTCTCCACAACCCATCAATGCTGCTCCTCCCTCTGCCCCAAGCAGTCAATACACTCCACTTTGACCCTGTAATTCCAAGTTTATAATGAGACATGAATCACTGCGAATTTCAGATGAAATCAATTATGGTAAAGGTAAGAAAATTAGTCAATTAGAGTACTGTACAAATATTCTTTGTTGAAAATCTTCCTTAAAAAAGACTTCTAGAAACTCCCTACAAATTATTTAAAAGAGATTTCTCAAAGCGTAGCTCTAACTCATCGATGAAAAGAAAATTTATAGAGAAGGATATGCTAAAACTAGACCGAGCAGCTTTCCACTGTAATTAGAGATTTGCTTATTCAATGGAATCCTAGAAAGACTTCTAGAAGTCTCTTGACTTGGGATATAACAACTATATCGGACAAAGTCGAAAAAAATAGAAAATATATAGGTAGGAAAGGATTAAGATGATGGTCCTTTCTGCCTTCCAGTTCACAAAAGTTCATGAGTAAAATATTTTACAAATTCTGAACATTGTTTGTTCCTGCTGCCACTGTACTGCTCCCTATCTGAAGGTAACATTCCCACCTCTGCCTGTCTGTGCGTGTCCTGGTCAGGGCGTCGGAGACCTGGGAAATCTCTCTCCAGCTCACAGCTCAGGCTGGGGCGAGCCAGCTGCTCGGAGCGCTCCCTGACACCTACTGGAGCAAAACGCCCCAGTGTTTCCTACTGAAGCATTCTTCACGTTGTCATTTTTTAAAATTATGCAATTATAAAGAAAAACAGTCAAACAAAAATAAATGCTTTGCTCATCCTTAAATGACTTCAGAGAAATTTCTACACATCTTTTTCAATCCAGTCCTGACATGTTTTGCAAAACAATTCCCATTTTGCCCAGCTACATTCATTAACGTTGTTCATAAAAGCACTACAGACAATCAATAATTACTTTTAGTCAGAAGCTATGAATGGATTAAGAACAGAAAAAAAAAATTTCCTTTGTTTCAAAGGAAGTTATATGTCTGCATAGAGATTACACAAATTATTATTTATGGATGTAGAAGACAGAAAGGATTTAAGGGAATTGGACACATTTCCCCAAGCAGTACCTTAGAGTGGCATCACTTATTTCCAGAGATTGCCAAAGGAATGACAACTACACAGTTTCTCCTGTGGAAGTTTACTAAGTTACATCAATTAAAATAATATTTTAATGTGTTTTCCTGCTAAATGAATGCTAATAACATGGCAGTACTTCAGGACAGTTTATTTTTCTCCTTAATCTCCACTGGGTTGGGCTTGGTTTCAGCCTGGCTGAGAGGTCATTAATTAGACTTGATTTGCCAGCCGAGCTGGTGCTCACTTCAGACACACATCACTTTCTGACACTGATGGGACTTCTGTTAAGGGGACTCAAAGGGTGCCATAAAACTCCAGCATTAGACTAATCTGTACATTTTACACTGGAACGGGAAGGGAAGACACTTAGCGGGAATACATTACAATAAACACTGGCGTAGCTCTTAGTATGTCAGCAGAGTACAAATGTAGGTCAGCATGAAATAAAAGGGGGATCTGAGCAAGAAATTGTCTGCAATTACGCATTGTTTTCATTCCAGCGTGCGCCAAAGGCCTCAACAGGATTGAGGCCCCTTGTTCAAAGTCAGCACAAACATGCATTTAAACAAAAAATAAAATCAAATAAACCAATGCCCTGCAGGACTTGGACTGTAAATAACAGGCATGGCAGAGCTGAGGTTAGGGATGCATCACAGCAGCAAAGAGAGCGGACAAAGCTTTCCAGCTACTCAAAGCAAAACAGCGTTCAGACTTGGTGTGCTCCACATAGTGCAGAGCTTTAATCTTCTTTAATTGCTTATTTCACAACTTCCCCCTAATCAAATCCTTCACTTAGAGTATAGATGTCTGCAGAGTGTCGCTCGACTCGCTACTGCGATATTTTTATTGTTTCTTCATGAAACAGTATGTGAAACTGTCTCAGAAAATACGGCTTTTGGTAGAAGTGAAATGCTGCTGTGGACTCTTCTGGCGGTACAACAGAATTGGCTCAGCACTCGTAACAGCAGAAATGCTGGAGAGGAAGATATGAATGGTACTCACTATGGCAAAACAGCACGGTTTTATTACTACAGAGAGACATGAAGACCATTCTTTCCTGACATTAACAGCCTATTCAGAGAGCGGTGCCATTTGTCCTTTTACATCACAGAATTAAGCAAATCACTATTACTAATTACAGTATTTTATTAAAACGTAATTTGATCGCAAAGGAACACGCTACAACACAAGCTCTGAAAATTAAGGCAGGACTTGCCCTGGAGAGAGGCCAGCACAAGGTTTTAAATAAGGTTTACGCCTTTTATTGGTGCTGACAGTCACCCACAATTTATACTGGTAAGAGCTGCCCACAGGTAGCTATTAAGTTTTATAAAGCATTCCAAGAACATGAGCGATAGCAGGGAAACTTACCTTGCCATAAAAAACAAGCAATCCCCCCAAAAACCCTCCCATCCCATTAATTAAAAGAGAAGGTTCTGCTCCTTCCACAAGGAAATATCTCTGATTTCAGAGAAATTTTGCCTGGATCAGGTAGGAAAACCAAAAACAACGCCAAAACCAAAAACAACAAGAAAACCCCAGACTTCTTGCACCCAGGTGATCAGACCTCTAAATGAGAGCTCCATGGCATGTTTAATGCTTGGCATTTTCACCTGTCACCTATTATGGCAGAAGCAAAAATTGCTAGAAAGATATTGTAAGACTGTTTGCGTTAATAAACAGAATAAATTTCTGCTGTTAGTATCAACCAAAAGGAATAAAAAAATACCAAAAAAATGTTTCTAATCAACTACAGAAATCTTTTTTTGTACATCGCAGAATACCAAGAGTTTGATGGCACTTAGATGCTAGTAAAGCTTCAATGTCCCCCAAGAACAGCGAGGCAGACACACACCTCAGTTAACTCAGCCTTCTTTAAATAAAGATCTATAAATGGTCTGGACAATAACAAATCCCATGCATGTGCTCCAAACCGTCCACTGATGAGGAAATAAAATTTTTACTACATCGCTAATGGTGCTTTATATTGAATATGAAAGGATAGGAGGCATTCGTAGGTTTAGAGCAGGACTGGTATTAGGATTTAGCTCTGACAGCTTATCTTTTCACAGCCTTAGGAAAGAAATGCAGAAACTCAGTGGCAGTAGTTGCAGAAGGAGCTCCAGAAGCAGCCGAAGCAAGGGCAGGCTTGTTTCATTTTGCCGTGGTGTCGCCCTTCTCTTCCTCACCTGCGGAGCTCTCCCTGCTCCGTGCTCCGTGCCCTCCCCGGGGCGTCCCCCACCACAGCGCAGGCAGCGCGCGCTCCCGGGACGTGTTCGCAAAAAGAAACATTTCCAAAAACTTTGGAACTTCAGCTTTGTTTTAAAGATATTTTGAAGAAGAAAATGAAATATCTGCACCAGCTATGAGCTTACTGAATCTAAATCTGAGCTATTTCTTTATGAATAATGAAACTATATTAAGGAGTTAGAACGTATAAAGTACTTCTAGGTATTTTTAAATATTTCTCCCTTTAAATTACAACAAATTCTTCTAGAGGGGGAGCTGCAGTGTGCACTAGGACAGTTGAGCCTTTTTTCTTTGTTGATCTATCTCTAAAATAGGGGGAAACCCAACAGGCTGAAAATAGAAGCCCTTAACACTGCTGAGCTGGAAACAAAATGAAACACTATTTTGAAAGGCTTAGAAACAAAACTTAACCAGTTCTAATAAAGCAAACACAGAAGAAATTAAATTCTAGTTGTGTTTTCTTGAGAAAAACAAAGAGAAACCCTTGGAAAATACATACGGCATGCACCCACATCCTCCATTATAATGAAATAACTCAGGAGACAAGTACATTTTGCCTATAGCATATAGGCATTGGAATTACCTAATACTAGAAATTTTGAAACACAGTTCATTTCAAGTTCCTGCTTGTTATGAGAAGCCTTTGAAGTTATGGAATCAATTAGTAATGCTACTTTAAAAATTACTGTAAAAATAGTTTTGCCATTTATTCTGAGAGAAAACTTTGGATATAAAGTTTATTTTCAGTTTTTCTGTGTTAGGCTTCAAGAGGAAAAGCACTGAAGAATATTTTGCATCCCAAAAATTCGGTTTGTTTTTGTCTGGGTCATCGTCTCTCTACTGGAAAGCCTGACCCCAATTTCCCTGGCACAAAAAGGACCTGAATATAGGTCTCCCATATCCTGATCGGCGGGCTGTAATGCATAGAGAGGACTCCAGCTCTCCCACCTGTCCTGTGTATATAATCTGAATTCATCAATGAATTGGGGAAGGCAGCAGGGGGGCAGAAGAAATGCCCCTGCCTAGGCAGGAATTCCTGGCCAGAAACAGGGGGTATCTGGGAGAGAGGACTTGGGGCACTCTCTGGTGCTCGGATGGCTGGAACAAGGGACAAGAGGACACTGCTGTGAGAAGCTGATGAGGCAGGCAACAATAATTTTAAATATGACAAAAATAATAATGATAATGATAAAAAATAACAAAAAGCACCCTCAAAGTCATTTGCCTCGAGAGTATAACCCATGTTTCCCACAAAAGACAAAGTATTTACGGAGGAACGGAAGGGCTCATTAGTGACACTTTCCGGGGTTCAGAGGTACTTTCCATACATGCTGTTACTCCTCTTCCCCTCCAGACTCGCCCGCAGACTGACTCCCCTCTTCTGCTCTGCGGCTGATGGACTGGAGCCATGCAGCAGGTTTTACCCCACCAGGAGCTGGCACACACCCAGGATGAGTCTAGCTATATTTCACTTTCATCATATTTATTAAGCTAGCGTTGAAGTCAACCTAATTAAAAACTCTCCTCTTGGCTTTCCAGCAGTGGGGTCCAGCTGTTGCGCTAATGATGTCATGCAGCATAACTGCAACTGTCTGCATAAGTAATTATTGTCAGATATAGACGAAATAATCCTTTAAAAAACTTACTATGCTTCCTCCTTCCACCCAAGCGCACGGTTCGTCACCAACCTCATGTAGAAGACAAAGCCACGCAGCTGGTGAACCAGAAACCCAGCTGGATGTCGCTGCCTCTCCCTGCGCGTGTGCCAGGCTCTCCGGTTGCCCATATTCCTTACTCCTCTTTTATTGAAACCTATTTATTTAGCTGTGTGGTACCAACGAGGAACTCTGCTTTAACTGCCCATAACCCCCGAGGAAGGGACTCATTCTTTTTGAGTGCACCACATGCATAACCTATGAGGTAAGTAAACTACAAGATAACTGTTACTCAAGTGGTTTATAAAGCACAAAACATTTAGCTGTTCGCATTTCTGAAGAAGCGTGCAAACACCTAAGCTGTGTTTTAGTATTATTAATTTCTTCTAAAGATTTCCAGAACAAACGAATGCTTTGTGTTGCCCTCCTACATGTGAATTTTTTCCGCATTACACATCTTCCTTCCCTCACATAACTTGTATAACTTCATTTTGCATAATGTTGGAATGCTGAACATAGCTTTGTTAGTTTGTGGTAACTTGCCTCCCATGGACAAATCTTATTTGCAAATGAAATGTTTTCACCTCTGCCATCCAATGGCCTTCAATGTGGTTCACACTGGCTATGAATAGATACATTCAGTTTCCTACCTTTCTTCAGAAATATCTGAAAGAAAGGAGGGGGAGATCTGGGATGTACGGAGAAAAGAATCACATGTGCCAGGGAAGCACATGTGTAATCAAGGGTTTGAAGATAATCTACTGCAGTAATTAAAAACACACTACAGTCCTGTTTAGCATATGCGTTCTTTTGTTCTCTCAGCACTTATTTTGTAATCATTAGGTTACAAAAGACTAGAAAAAGGAAAGAAGATGGAGAATGAGTAACGTTGTTTGCTGCAAAGAAGAGGGAACTGTAACAGCAGAAAAGAAAAAGTGTCAGGATGTCTCAGTGCCTCGTTTTTATTTTGTGAAATCAGTTTGTTGAACATCTTTCTAGCTTCTTATAAACTCGTATAATAAATCACGATCTTAAAGAGCATTCCGTAATGCGTAACTCCCAGAAATGCGTTAGGTGGCTCAAGACATTTGCAAGACTTATTTGTTGCTTTCCCGAAGGTTTAAATCAAAGCTGGACAGCCTTTATGATACACACACCAGCCACGGGCACTGCTTTGCCCACTGGTGAACATAGCCACTTCTACAGTGGAGATGGAAGCTTTAAAACACTGTCTGGCAATGCTGTACATCTTTCCAAATGAAATACAAGTGAGCTTTAGTCCGCTTAGAGTAAAATTACCTTTATAAAATTTATCCAGGTGATCAAGATGACTTGACTTTCAGACGGGAAAGAAGACAGCATAATGGGGAATTCAATCCTAAACTGTTGAGCTGTCATCTGACAGCCCAAACAAAGCTATTTTGGGCTAATAGAGTGCTTTCTACTCCCTCATATTCCATTACTCAATTTGGAGAACAAAGAACACTTTTTCTGGGGAAAGGGCTTCTTTGTTTTTTTTAAACAGAATATTACCTTTTTAAAGGGAATTACTTTGCCAGTGTGTACCAATTTTTATCTATGTATATTATACATACATTCACACATACTCCCGTGCTCCTCCTATACTGTACCATAGAGTAAAACTATACCATACAGCTAATATAAATATTTCTATTGTTCTATGAGCTTTTTGTTTACCTTCTGTTTCAGGTGATAATATATTTGAAAAGAACATTTAGTTAACTGTCACTGTTAATGGTGCTCACCCAGGTACCTGCATCTGTATCTCATACCTCATTTTTTTACTCATCTGACTCTGTAACAACCCTACAATTCTGAGAGGAGGGAATGAAGTTTCATTGAAAAGGAAGAAAGGTTTTTCTAGAAAACTCCTCTTTTCTTTATTATTTGTCAAATGTTATAGACAGATTCTCCAATACTTTATTCCAGGAGGTGACAGGGTTTTTCCTCTCAGCATGGATAAGGCCCAGCACACACTAACTCATCTTCCAGGAAACATTTTATTGGCATCAATTCCTTGCCTGTGCTAATACAAACACCTCCCTGCAGCTTCACCCTCCTCAGTAACCTGTCCCACTCGTTATATGCTCATTACCTGTGTCTTCCAAGGGCAGCTGGGGTTTTATTTCTTGTTCTGCTATATCTGCTACAACTGCTGCTGCTGCTGCTGCCGCCGCTTCGGGGGGTGGCTGCGGAGGTGAAGGTGGTGCCTTTACCGGTGTAGTGGACTCCGGGGTCTCAAATGCTTCTTCAGAGTCAGAGCTCCTGGTGAAAATCAAATGAGAGACTAGTGAGCAGAGTGAAGATTCATGTTTGCAGGTCGCGCTTGGAAACGCAGGGCTTTCTGAACTGATGGCATGGACCTCAGCTATCAGGCTACCTCTGCATTTCCCAAAGGAGGTTTTACATTGCAGTATGGTTTCCAGAGCAGAATATCATAGCTATGGTCTTCTCCACATATAAGTATTTATGTCACTTGAGACTTCTTCATGTTACACGCACTTGGAAATAAATTCATCCTGCAAAGCCTGCTGTCCAGTGTGGAGGTGGCTCAACCACACAGACACCACCACTGACGCCCCTGCGCTAGTTTCTAAAACTCTCCTTGGCACAAGTGTACCTAAATCAACTAAAAAAAAAAGAATAAAAAGGATCTTCTCAAGAGATTTCATAGCTTCATCAAAAAACCCATCTAAAATAGCATCAAATTTGTGTGTGTGCTCCTACAGGTGAGAAAGCAGACATGGAGATACCCGAGGTGCAGCAAATCCTTGTGCACCCTGCTCCCATGGAAATAGTGCATTCTATTTTTAGCAGAATTTTATCATAGCCCTTTTCAAACAGTAAGTGTATGGCTTTGTTACACAAGGTAAGACAACCTGTAAAATGCACAGTCCTGGTATTATCAATAATCCTCTTCCAGCACCATGTGCTCACACAGACACAAAAACCCAGCAAGAAAACAGCAGCCCCCAAAATGGAGGCGGTCAAATGAAGCACAAGCTTGAAAGGCAGCAGCTGTACAAAGGGACGGGTAACCTAAACATTAAGTGAGGATCTAAACCACGCAAGGACACACAAGTTGCTCTTATGGCAGTACAGCCTTAGGAAACTGTCCTTCTAGATCTGAAAACTATAGATCTTATTTGTTCTTAAACCGAACGGAGACCAAATTCTGGCTTTTAAACATTTCTTCTTGAAGCCTTTTTTTGGGAGCAAGGAATGCGGTAACAATGGTGTGATGTTCAATATGCACTGAACATACGTACAATATACTTTCAATAAGCATTTCTGTTGGCCAGATGCAGGTTTTTACTGCTGGTCTGTAATAAAGTAAATCGAATATGACAGTTTCCTAAAGGACAGGACTGATTTGCCTATTCCCAGCGATGCTTTGCAGGGCTGTAGCCTCCACTGCTCCTCACGGCTGTCCGCACCCCACGCGCCAGTGCAATGGTGACAAAATTTGCCATGAAATGAAAAGCCGTTTTATCCCCCAGAAGCACTCTACAAGCTGTCCTGAATCGAGGACTCTTCTCATTTTGTTCAAGTTAAAAGATAAGTCTGAGCTGCCTGATCCTGTTTGGTTTCTCAAAGCTCATGATTATTTTAAGCAGCTCGATGTCAGGAGAAGTACAAGATTTGCATTCGATTACATTTGCCTCAATCTACTACAGCATGAAGCCTCCGGCGAGCCGGGGAGGAAAAGACCCCGATGCCACCCCTGGCAGCTTGAGGAGCGCAGCGGACCCGGTTCTGCCCGGCTGCCCCCGCAGAATCCCAGCGAGAGCTCCCACCTCCTCGGCACGCCGTCAGGGCGCACGCCACGGCCCGACGGCAACCCCTGCCGCCCCTGTCTGATCGCCTCTACTCCTGTGCAGAGCAAAAGGATTTCTACTAGCTAATAGCTTCGGATGTTTGCATTGCTCGGGGATTTTTGGAGATTTTTTTTCTCCCCAAACTTAGGTCACTTTCTGGGGAACTGCTCAAAAATAGCATGCCTGGCTTTCGATTATATCTGTTGCTGCAGCTCCTCAAAATACCTTCTTTGTGTCATTGCTCAAATCATATTCCTTCATCAGGCCACAGAACAGACAAATTGGAAGAGGTAGGCCGCAGCATTTTAGATTATAACCCTTCAAAGATGCACCATGTTTTAAGTTCAAAATATTTTAAGCTTAAGAACAGCTGCAAACAAAGAGCTTCTGTAAATAAAGCTGCACAATAGGTATTCAACAAAATCATGCTTTCTCTTCCTTCCACAGAGCTGGTTCAGGAAACTTTTAAGCTGAAGAATCAAAAAGAGAAACAGAGTTGTGTGATATTTTCCCAGCAGAGAAATGTTTCTTGTGTCATGAAAATAAACATGGAAAGTTATCATCCAAACCAACAAAATGAAAGGTAATTCATCTCTCTCAGGCTTTCACATCATTCTGCATTGCGCTGTACCTAATAAATGCTTTACTCTCTTCATATCGAACCCAAAGTGTTGCTCTGTCATACCGGAACAGTAGCGGTTGCACATGTTTACACCCCTTTTTTCCAAACTGTCTGTATGGCACATGTAACATATGCAGTAAATACATAGACATATGTAATACAACTGAAATTGTAGAAAGTCTCTATTTTCATGTCCTACCCATATTTGTAACTGCTTGGTTAAAAGTGGCTCGACGGCACAGTTCTGCATCCTCCTTTATTTAAATGATGGAAAGACTCTGTGCATGTTTCTGTCCCTGTTAAACCAGCTACCTTTGTCTACGTGGTCTCTTCCTTGGATGATGTGGGCATAGGCATTTGAAGTAAAGAGCAATGTCTGTTCTTTTTTGTTCGCTGTACGAACTTCCCCACTGGAGAAGCTCCCGAGGCTGTGGACAGACACTTGTGGTGCCTGAGCTCCAGCACAAGGCTTTGTTTTGCTGATATTTAATAATCCCCAACAGATTCTGATGCAATACTCCTAAGTTTCGGCTGCACCCCTCCATAAGCAGCAATGTAACCAAGTAAGAACCCTCTTAACTGTAAAGCAAATGCTGCTGAGTTTGTTATGAGAAACAATCGTGCTGGCAAAATATGGTATTCAACAAAGAAATACGAAGGGAAGCTGAATACCAGAAAACCGTTCTTCGTCATAGCCTGGGATCTGTGAGAGAGCATAAAGCCTGGAAGCACATACCAGGACTACGCTCCAAGGTCTACATTACATATATCCTGGAAAAATTAGATCCTGTGTTCAGTTTTCCTTAGTGAGAACACGGATGGTCTCTCTTGCATAGGATATTTTTAAGACTACAGTCCTACTTTCAAACTGTAAGAAAAGAATTTCCCAGAACAACAGGATTTCCTGTGAAAAGGAAATTACATATTTCAGCCAGTCTATTCATAATGTCTCTTCTCTGAGAACTACATGGAATACACAGAAAGAAAATAATGCTGCCGTGAAGTTCGTGGTGTAAAACAGATTGCCAAATCGTGATATGCCGTGAGAATCTGCACCAATTCAAAGCTGTGCAAGGAGCAGCTACCGCGGATCCAGCTGTGGGCAGGCTCTCACGAAAGGAAGAGCCCTTCTGTCACCTCGAATATCATACTGAAGCTCCAGCCAAGGATGAAGCACGGTGAGATGGGATGCATAGGTTTTAGAGATGGAGGAGTCATTTGCTGGCCTCAGCTCAAAATGTTGTCGAGATGGGGTGTGCAAGTGCCGAGTCCAAGTCTGCAGGACTGGTTTGTGGGGCAGCGATGAAGTAAAAGCCACAGGAAGGAACACACATTCACGTGTCCTTTTAGCCAGCTTGGGAAATTAGTGGGAACTTGCCTTGATAGCATATGTCATATATTTCCATCTGTATCCTTCGGGTTTTATACATAATGGGCAAAAAAGTATAGATTGTAGAAGCTACAAAATGATTAGATGATAGTAATAGAATACAAAATGACCAGAAATATTCTTCTAGTCCATCTCTTTCACCTCCCTTTTTGAAAGATACCAGTAACCAGTAAATGTAACATATAGAGGCAGGGGAGAGAAGCAGGGGAGAACTGAGAAATGCAAGAATCATACAAGACCAACACAACTCCGGCAACAACGCATCAACTCGTGGAGCGGGAGCACTCCCACTCTCGTCTGGAAACTTTGAGGTCTTGCCCAGCCTGTTAGATAAACCTCTGGAGGAAATACAGAAGGGAGTCACTAGGGTTGATTTTTCTTCACCCTTGGCCTTGCAGAAATCCAGCCTCATAAGTTGCATTGTCTTTTTTTGTAAACCACAGATGCTTATAATTTTAAGTCCTCCTCTATTTCAGAATGAAAAATTGCCTTTTTGTCATTGCAGCTGGAAAGCACTCAGTAAGCAAGAATGGGATTTCTTCATTCCACTGCCTCTCCTCACTGTTTGCCCTCTTTAGGCACAACAGCCACTGCAGTGAGGGCATCCTAGCTGTCACTTGGAAACTCAATTCATTAAAAAGTAGTTTGCAACAGAGCTGTGGCCTTCAGCTGCATCGGGACCCCTGCCATCTGTCTCCGGTTCTTCTTTACCGGGGAGCTGTTGTTTACACTACAGCAGTATAACCGATGCAAGCGTGCACTCTGGTTTTATTTCTCAGGAATGAAAGGGATGTCTGATATTTAAAAGAAACCTAAAAGCAGGGCTTTGACCCCAGGACTGTGGTCAGCAGCATCATTTCCTATGGAGGGGCACAAGGGAGCAAATCTGGAAACCAGTACGTGCTGAGGGAGCTCCACGGGCTTTTGTAGAGTTACTTCACTTAAAGTCAAATCTATATAGAATTTTTATTTAGCATATAGCCTGCTTCAGAAAAAAACCTCCATGCCTAACTACTTTATGGAGCACTGATCTATTGGCGTGCACTATTATGTTAAATTTGCCTTATTAGTGGAACACGTCCCAGATTAATCTGCTAATTGTTTTGTCTCTATGTACCTTTGTTTTATTGACATCAGACCAGAGGCGACCATTTCATTCTCACGGTGTCTTTGGAAATATGACATATCGGGAGGAAAAAAGTCAGGCAATCTTACAACATGCACACAACAACAACAAAACCAAGCTGTGCTCCGTTACTACTCAAGAGTGCTTGGAGGGTAATGAAACAAAAGCAAGGACTCCAAAGCTTTACCGGGGAGCTGTTGTTTACAGATTGCCCTCTACCTGTAGTGTGCAGGACGTTTGGAAACGTACAGAGAAATCGAGGGCTGTCTCTCATGATGAGCATTTCCTACCTGATCAATTTTA